TAAATGCTCTGTTTATAATAAACAGTATTAAATAACATTTTAAATATTAAAAAACATTTTAAATATCATTTTAATAAATATCTGTCTGCTGTGGCCTGGTATTGAACTCACAATTCTTTGGGTCTAGTCACTGCATCTAGCCAATGTTTTTATCCACTGGGCCATGTGTCCTTGAGCTGAGTTAATGGGAAATAACTGAGACATTTGGAAGAGGTATAACGCGTGGAACAAGAACAATCTACCTCAGTGGATGCAATAAGGGGTTCCGTTCGAAATTCCAATCACCTGAAGGAGGCCGGAGCGTACAACAGCCGAAACGTTGTGAATATGGCAATGAAAATTAGCATAACAGTCCGAATAATGTAAATAATGCATGTAATCATTTTAATAAATATATCTTCTTTTATAACATTAATTAAATTTCGCACAAAGAAGTAATTCTTTAGTTTGTTAGACACCTCACACTTGTTGCTGAGTCATTTTTGGATACTGTAAAATATAATAATATAAAACATCTTTATTTATTTCCTATTAGTGATGCCACCATTGATACTTTTCTGTCATCATTCCATTTATGTCAGTCATAGCAAAACAATAGAAAGGTCATTTTTGTGGTCTGGGAACACTCAAACAATTCTCGTCATTGTTACACTGTGCGTGTACGTACGTAAATCGATAATTTCATAGTCTAATGACGAAGAAAGACTTTATTTTACAACTACATATATTTTCAACATAATCTTCCACTTTGTCAATGCACTTAATTCAGTAGTGAATATCAGTCATACAGATCGAACATTACACAGTGAAATTTTCAAATTAAAATTTAACTACGTCGCGGGCTATGGATTTACCGATCCCCTCTCATAAATGTATGTGCAGGCGGATGTGTGCACACCTTTCTGTATTTGTGTGTGCGTTTGTGCATATATAAGCATGTATCAGCGTGTGTATGTATATAAATGTGTATGTTTACCTATCCGCGTGTATGTGCGTAAGTGAATATCTGGGTATGTGTACCTATGTGTATCAGTGCTCATATGTTTGTATGTGTTTGTGCGTGCGTGTGTATATGCATGTGTGCGTGCATATGCGTTTGAATGCGCGCATGCCGCTGTGTGTGCGCGCATGCGCGCATGTGCGTTGTAGATGTATTTGTTTTCATGACACATATTTTTCATTTGACCCAAGTAAAAACAAGTCAAACATTTCGCTGTCAACCAATGTTTGTTTTTAAATCTCTCTACACGGCCTTTGCATTTGAATTTCGGACGGCTAGTGACCTACACCCCCTACCCCACCCCGAAGTTAGGGGGGGTGATCTAACAATTACTTAACAGTGGGGCGGGTTGTTAGAATAAGAATGTCAATGTGGTGGACACTGTGCAATGTGTCCGGAAAAAAAAAGGGACGGTCTCGAAACGCAACTCACACGTTGCAAAGTTTTGGGGAGACTGTCACACGAGACTTTGTGCAAATCAATTCCTACACAAAATTAGAAGGTCGACTATTAACCCAACATAAAATAAATAGTGTTTTGAACAAGAAATGTGTGTATACTATCGCATACATAATTTCTGTTTACATTATTTACAGTCAGACGAATGTCCTCATCATTATCACAACGTTTCTGCCCTTGTGATCCCCGACCTTCATCTGGTATCTATCGTTCCAAATACCCTTCAGGGGTGGTATTAGCTGGTATAGCAATTGGGAGTGAAATGGGCTAGGTAGTTAAGACTCAAGGGAAACAGGGTGAGTAATTACTGAGCAGCACTTAATAAAGGTTCGTCTACCTCAGAGAGGAACCAGTCTGGGGCCGAAAAATCCTTCACTGGAACTGTAAGCGTTCTGAAAGCAAAGGAAATATTTGTCGCCGATTACTTCCACAACGCAGAGAACAAATCACTGTAAGTTCAGACTCGAACATCGGGGACAGAAAGAAATGCCGAAAAATCGATTCGCAGGTACTAACTCAATGCACGGAACCAGTCAGAAAAATAACTCACTCTCCGACGGACGCGACAGCCAAAATACACGATTTTCTCCCGATTCGAGAACAACAACTGCTTTTATCGGACGAGCATTTTTTCCATTCGTCGACAACTGGGAGAGGACACCAAGTTTTTGCATATCAAAATACTTTTATAGTGACTCCTGCGGCAGACTTGTTTTTTTAATATAAATATTCCGTCTTCAGCATGTCATGCGGAATAAATGCCCATTTTTTTAGGGGGGGGAGTAATTTTCTTTTTCGCCACATTTTCCGTCGTAAGATACACGCGACGCGCTGTCGCTTGGTTTCACGAGGTTTTATTCGCTATAGGAACAAATTCTTCCATCCCTTGGTCATCAAACCCGAACTTTTTCCAACCTTGGACCAAGTGACTCAATGCCAAATCAGCTAATAAAAAGAAAACGGACGAAATGGTCTTGTGAAGAATATCAGCAAGTGATGGCTTCATTCTTAACTGCACTCGAAAACCCAGCAAAGAACACCACGAATCAGACAAACCAAATATGGAGAACTATGGTAGGAAATGATATAAGACCTCATTTCAACTCAAACATGCTTGCCAATGCCCGCAGAGACATCGTACGAAACAAAAGACTCTCAAATACAGAAATAGATAAGATAAAACAAGATATAAGACAAAATACAATGACCCAAACAGTAAAGAGATTAGAGCAGAAATAAATAATATGACAAAAGATGAGTTAAAATCTTAAATAAATGAGATACGAAATAATAATCTCCCAGGAAACAAAACCGAAGAATCTACTTGTGATATAACCTGCAGTTATCCAGACGATGTCACTGAAGATGAGTTCTACTAAATTAGACTAAAATTCCTTGAAATCATCAAAGCGAAAAATCACATCATCCAAGTACTCAGCAGAGTAACTCTCACACAAATGTCAGAAAGAGACCGACACCCAAAAATGCATATGACAAAGTCCAATAAGCACATTGTGCAAATATACAATGCTGCACTGGAAAAACTGTAAACGGACAAACCACTGGGAAACATCACAGAAGTTAACAATGTCATATACGCAGCATCTATAGCAGAACACTGAGAAGCTTGGAGACAATGAAATGATCAAACAACATACAAAGGGAAGGCAAAATTGATGCGAGAAATAAAGGAAATCAGATATATGAGATTTCGATATTAAATGAAATAACTGGAAACCCAAATGTCTCTACACGCAAATGAAGGAAGATCAAGCGGAAATATAAAATTAAATCACTAAATGAAATTCCATCAATCAAGGAAATGCTAAAACAGAAACTGCAGTTAAAGGCACAGAGAACAAGACGATACGAAAAGCGTTGTATGTTCTATCGCCAAAATAAAATATTTCAAACGAACCATAAGAAATTTTACAGGGAAATTCGAAAAGCACCTATACATGTCGAAAAGCTACCATCTATTGACAAGATGCTGAAATTTTAGGAGAATATTTGGAGCAGCTCAAAGAATATAACCCCAATGCAGAAGAGATCCAACGTGAAGAAGAACGAATGCTGGATAAACCTCTACAAGAGTGGGAAAATATATTCACGAATAATGTTAGGGAAACTTTAACGAAATCTCAAGGATGGAAATCGCCAGGAAATGACAAGGTGCTCAATTTCTGGCTCTATCAAAACCCTTGCACAAACTCTGTCAATGCTTATTAATAATCCCAATGAAATGCTAAAATGGATCACTGAAAGTATTACATATCTCATGCCATAAACAAGTGAAACAGATGACCCGAAAAATTATAGGGCAATAACATGTCTGTCCACCACGTATAAATTGATCACGACTGTCCTGATGAATCGTACTTACTCTTTTCTCGAAACAAACAACATTATTCCAATGAAACAGAATAGATGCAGGAGGGGTTCATATGATTGCAAAGATCAAATATTGATACACAAAATGATTCTGGAAAATGCAGGAGATGATGTAGAAAACTTAACACAACATGGATAGATTGTTTTAATTTTATTGTCCTTGTCATTTCTCATATTATTTTTTTTTCTTTGATTTCTGTTATGTACACATTTCTTTTCATTTCTACTGATCTTTATTTTTTTTAAAAAATAAATAAATAAATAAACTTAAGATCACACATATTTTACATAGATAAACCTCTTCGTAAAGTGTAAGCTGTACTTGTGAATACAATTTTTTGTATTTCTTTAAGGCATGGGCCACCAGGAAGCCCCTTGAATGAGTCTATTGGAACGTTTTCCAATCAATCCGAGGGCTCCAACTACAACTGGAATTATTGATGTCCTCATGTATCACATTTCGGAAATTTCCACTTTCGAGTAGTAGTTGGAGCCTTCGGATTGGTGGGGAGCTTACGTTCGGCGGGGAGCGTGCATTCGGCGTGGAGTATGCGTTCGGCGGGGAGCTTGCGTTCGGCGGGGAGCTTGCGATCGACGGAGAGCTTGCGTTCGTCGGGGAGCGTGCGTTCGGCGGGGAGCTTGCGTTCGGCGAGCCGAATTCAAATCCCGTCGTTAGTTGAGATCACTGTCGCACAATTTCTCTTGTGAAAGGCAGTAATACTTTACTTCTCTGTCGTTAAATGGCAGAGTAGCATGGACTCATACAGTTCTCAATTGCTGAAGGGTAAGGCGATAATTCATAAGGTGATAATAATGGACTCCTACATTGGTTGCCACCCGAGTGGCAATCAATGTACGGAGAAAGAAGACTCGTCTCTCACAGCTATGGATTAAATAGTAAGGTGGACAGGAAATACTAAGAGAAGCAAAACCATGAAAAATAAACGGGGAATCGCTCTACTATTTTAGTAGAATGTGTGGAGAGCTATGATCGTCTACGTCCCGAAAGAAGTTGCCAATAAAAGATAGGTAGTTACTGGATTTGGTAGGATATAAGATATACTTCCCATTTTTTTTTCCAAAACTGATTTAAAAAGAATCTTATATGCTAAATGGAGGTATCTAATGCCTGCATTGATACAGTAAATATTTATTCCGCTAATCTGACACCAAAATAGCGTAGAGACATGAGTAGATAGATAGATAGATAGATAGACAGACAGATAGATAATGAACATATTGAGATAGATAGATAGATAGATAGATAGATAGATAGATAGATAGATAGATAGATAGATAGATAATCAACAGACTGAGATAGATAGATAGATAGATAGATAGATAGATAATGATCATGTTCAGATAGATAATGATCACTTTCAGATAGATAATGAAAAGACTGAGATAGATAGATAGATAGATGATAGAATAGATAGATAATCAACAGACTGAGATAGATAGATAGATAGATAGATAGATATGATCATATTTCAGATAATAATCAACAGACTGAGATAGATAGATAGATAGATAGATAGATAGATAGATAGATAGATAGATAGATAATCAACAGACTGAGATAGATAATGATAGATAGATTTCAGATAGATAATGAAAAAGACTCAGATAGATAGATCACTTTTTCAGATGATAAGATGAGATAGATAGATAGATAGATAGATAGATAATCAACAGACTGAGATAGATAGATAGATAGATAGATAGATAGATAGATAGATAATGATCATGTTCAGATAGATAATGATCACTTTCAGATAGATAATGAAAAGACTGAGATAGATAGATAGATAGATAGATAGATAGATAGATAATCAACAGACTGAGATAGATAGATAGATAGATAGATAGATAGATAGATAGATAGATAATGATCATGTTCAGATAGATAATGATCACTTTCAGATAGATAATGAAAAGACTGAGATAGATAGATAGATAGATAGATAGATAGATAGATAATCAACAGACTGAGATAGATAGATAGATAGATAGATAGATAGATAGATAGATAATGATCATGTTCAGATAGATAATGATCACTTTCAGATAGATAATGAAAAGACTGAGATAGATAGATAGATAGATAGATAGATAGATAGATAATAGATAATCAACAGACTGATAGATAGATAGATAATAGATAGATAGATATGATCATGATCAGATAGATAATGATCATGTAATAAGATAGATAGATAGATAAATGATAGATGAATCAGATAGATAATAAAAAGACTGAGATAGATAGATAGATAGATAGATAGATAGATAGATAGATAATCAACAGACTGAGATAGATAGACTTTAGATAGAAAGATAGATAGATAGATAGATAGATAGATAATGATAATCAACAGATAGATAATGATCACTTTCAGATAGATAATGAAAAGACTGAGATAGATAGATAGATAGTAAATTCAGCTGTAAATATTTGTGAGCTCGTGGTTATAGAACTTTTTGTGAGTAAGAAATGATCGCCTTACCCCTCAGCAATTGAGAAGTACAAAGCACAGAGGGCGACATGACACTCGATTACCACAGAAACAAAAACTGTATTTGTTTTTTCTTAAACGATCCCAGCGTCGAGTATCTCTGCCCTCGCCTGCCTTTCTTGACTCGTTCTTCAAAACGATTGCCCTAACACGTTTCAGCCAATCAATCGTAACAAAAGGGCCTAAAGAGAAATTGCAAATGTGTCCAGGCGCTCAAATCCGCCATTGCCTGGTCAAGGCACATTCGAGGTCGCAGTTAGAGCCCCCAGTCATTGATAAGCTTCTACTTGATAGCAACTCTTGAGGCACGTTCAAAGCTTAGGACTCACCCGCCTTGTTTATTGTGTTGCAACCGGGTAACACACCCGACAGGATGGGGCGGCAAAAGGGGTATGATGTGTACCAACTTAGAGAGTGCTTCAGAAGCCAATACCCGCGGATATCTTTGTGGGCGGTCCTTATCTTGTTTGAAAATAAAAATAATGTCAAATACTATAATTAACTAATCACACCTTTTCAATCTATTTAGAAAATAAACGACTGGGGCAGCCTTTCTACACTGGTATAGTTAGATCGAATTTAAGCTTATGAACAGGCATCTTGGTTGTGTCTAAGTCTCCCTAAGGGAAGATAAGTAAAAATCAGACTGCTCATATATATATATATATATATATATATATATATATATTATAAATTAATTGATTTAAAATATGTTTTTTTTCGCTACACAGTTCTAACCATGTTTCAAAAATGGAAGCCAAAAGCCACAAATTTAATTTTGCAATTAAATTAAAGACATTAGTTCATTTCATCCTCAAGTGAATTTTGGAGTAACTTTTAAAATTACTGGGTTTTAAAGACACAGCTAAAATCACGTTTCCATGGTTACAGATAAATTTACTTCAAATTTATCAATTAATTTATAATATTAATCCTCTGTAAATTTATATTGAGCACTATTTTCTAAAATAAAAATATCTATAAGAACACCGGGTTATATATCTTACTGTTCTTTCTTTTTTATATATATATATATATATATATATATATATATATATATATATATATATATAAACATTAATTCCTGTTCATTTTAAATATCAAATAAAATATTAATCCCTGTTTAAGTATAAA